GCCACTTTAAAGTCGTTACCCGTTAATACGATCACAGTATAAGGATACGATACCTTTTCTGTGGCATTTATTGCAGCCATTTAATATCATCGCCTCATGCCATCAACGACAGTTTCCGAAGCCAGTCGACAGGTTCCGTCACAACTTCACAACACTTACAGTTTTAGCGTTACATTGTGGCTAGCCCGCAAACGGGCTAGCCACAAAAAATACAAAACAAAGACGAAAAACATTTACCTTGAATACTTTGTCGTGGCTTAGGCATGTTTTTAAAACAATTAGACCAGTTTATGCTTCAATATTACTCTTTTAAAGCGGAATAAATAGCGAAACAACAAAAATGCTGAGAACTTTGGCAATACCCGTGACGTCACAGATTGCAACTAGGTTTAGACTGTGACGTCAGGAAGTTTCCTATCCAGTTATTTTACAATCCATGCTATAACGAATACTTTTTTCTGCATGTGAGCTGTAAATGGCCTGCGAAGCCCATGCATTATTTGTTTCATTATAGAAAGTTAACTAACCTTGGACTTTTTATCCCGGTAAAGTAGCTTTCGGCCAGTTTCATTCAACTAGAAAGAGAATATAATTTTGCTTATTTAAAAATTCTAAGCTTGCTCAATGCGAATTAAGTTAAACATTGGAAACAGAAACAATCATATTTCAACAGAAAAAGTGACAAGATACCTCAAGCCAATCGATCTTGGAATCATGTCCGACTGATGCTGCGTTAAATCCAGAAACCAAATCCACTATAAACGGAGGCAAGAGTTTTCATTTAAGACTACAAGTGACAATCTCTACTTCATACACCTATATAGTACATAGAAAGTACATACCAACACAGATGGTCTTGAGATCTATAAGATAAGCCATCTTTTTGGTATTTCCTGGTCCTTTCACTTTTCGTTCGTTCAGGCGGACGCTGCAAAGTGCAAGAGTAAGTAAGTGGGGTGTGCTAATCTCGCAGCTTAGTAAGCTTGGTTGTAGCTGAGAGCTAAGCTGAATGGACCACTTGCGTAATAGACTAAATTTTGATCTAGATAAAAATTTCATCACAGCATCACAAAATTAGTAATATTCCAAAGTCTCGTTGCGAAATGTTGTAAAATGCGGATAATATAGCCTTGCGAAGTTTGCAATTTTCAGTCATTTTAGATTACAAACGGGAAATTGACAGCCTAATACCCTTTGGGGCTGTCAATTTCCCGTTTGTAATCTAAAATGACTGAAAATTGCAAACTTCGCAAGGCTATATTGTCCGCATTTTACAACATTTCGCAACGAAACTTTGGAATATTACTAATTTTGTGATGCTCTTTCAAGCTGTGATGAAATTTTTATCTAGATCAAAATTTAGTCTATTACGTCAATTCAGCTTAGCTCTCAGCTACAACTAAGCTTACTAAGCTGCGAGATTAGCACACCCCACTTACTTACTCTTGCACTTTCCAGCGTACGCCTGAACGAACGAAAAGTGAAAGGACCAGAAAATACAAAAAAGATGGCTTATCTTATAGATCTCAAGACTATCTGTGTTGGTATGTACTTTCTATGTACTATATAGGTGTATGAAGTAGAGATTGTCACTTGTAGTCTTAAATGAAAACTCTTGCCTCCGTTTATAGTGGATTTGGTTTCTGGATTTAACGCAGCATCAGTCGGACATGATTCCAAGATCGATTGGCTTGAGGTATCTTGTCACTTTTTCTGTTGAAATATAATCGTTTCTGTTTTCAATGTTTAACTTCAATTCGCACTGAGCAAGCTTAGATTTTTTAAATAAGCAAAATTATATTCTCTTTCTAGTTGAATGAAACTGGCCGAAAGCTACTTTATCGGGATAAAAAGTCCAAGGTTAGTTAACTTTCTATTATGAAACAAATACTGCATGGGCTTCGTAGGCCATTTACAGCTCACATGCAGAAAAAAGTATTCGTTATAGCATGGATTGTAAAATAACTGGATAGGAAACTTTCTGACGTCACAGTCTAAACCTAGTTGCAATCTGTGACGTCACGCGTATTGCCAAAGTTCTCAGCATTTTTTGTTTCGCTATATTTTCTGCTTTAAAAGAGTAATGTTGAAGCATAAACTGGTCTAATTGTTTTAAAAACATGCCTAAGCCACGACAAAGTATTCAAGGTAAATGTTTTTCGTCTTTGTTTTGTATTTTTTTACATTTGTAGCTACGAAATTGGCGTCGCCAATTTTAACGAAATTTGCGATGCATTTTTCACTGTTTAGTGCTTGAAATATTTGCTAAAATTGACTGGAAATACTTAGAGATTTCATCGTAGAATGGCGTAGTTATATTTATTTGCTCTTTGACTAAAATGTTTAGCTGTATTATTGCTAAACATGCCGTTTTTGAGAATTTGGTTTGCAACTAGGTTTCAACATCCAATCACGCCATCAGCCCATTGAAAACATTAGGTCACGTCAGCTAGTTTCCTATCCATGTATTTTATTATCCATGGTTATAGTTAAGAGTAAATTTTGTTCTTTTTATGTATAGCTGTACCTTCTTGATGTTGAGAGCCACAGTCGCACGACGATATTGAATTATTGCACTTACGTTCAGGTAAGTGTTTATTAATGCATGATTTCAGCTATACACGAAATTTTGATCAAGACAAGGAGAACGAAATCCATTACCATAGCTGGAAAGAGCATCTTAAAATGAGTAAAATTGCAAAGTTTGGTGGCGAAATGTTGTAAAATGAGGAAAATATAGCTCTGTGAAGTTCGCAAATTTTGTATATATTTGCATTACGCGCGGGAAAAATAACCATGTTTGAGCCGAAAGTGGTTATTTTTACCGCGCGTAATACAAATAGGCCTCTGTATATACAAAATTTGCGAACTGCACAGGGCTATATTTTCTTTATTTTACAACATTTAGCAACCAAACTTTGCAATTTTACTTATTCTAAGATGCTCTTTCTAGGTGTGGTGTTGGATTTTGTTCTTGTCTCGATCAAAAGTTTGTCCATAGAGCGAATCATCCATTACATTTCAAAATATCAATTTCATGTCCACAAGTCTTTGTGGTTTGTTCTGAACTACCCGGAAAATATTAAAATCATTGAGGGTGTGATAAAACTGGTACTTCGCGGTCTAGTACTTTCTTTTTTTAAACCACGTACCACGTAGGTATGCGCACAAGTTGTTACAGGTCTGCAAACAAGTTGTTACAAATCTGTTCACAAGCTGTCAACAAGTTATGTTCGCACTGCTTGTTCCCAGTTGTTGCAACAAGTTTGGAACAAGCAGTTAACAACTAATTGTAACAAGCTTGATGGCATCATCAGATTTGTAGCAAAGTTGTTGTAACAAGTCTGATACAGTCGTGATATAACAAGAATGTCACAAGGTTGATGATGACACAAGGTTGTAACAATGTTGTTATATCACAACTGTATCGGACTTTTTGGAACAACCTTGCAACAAGTCTGATAATATCAACAAGGTTGTTACAAGTTGTTCACAGTTTGTTCCAAACTTGTTGAACAACTTGTTGGCAGACTTGCTACAAGATGTGAGACTTTTGCGTGTGTCGGTATGCGCACCTGTAGGGGAGGGAAAAGTATCGGACCACGGATCCCAGTTTATTGCACATTTAATTTAATTTGTTTTCACAGTGGGTTCCCATGAGTGATGTTGTGGTAGCACAAAACCGAGGAAATCTTTGCATTTGGTACAACATTGACGCACCACAGAGAGTTACGATGTTCCCGATCAAGGTAATATAATCCAGGCAAATTTCTTTGTGTTTGACAATTTTACAGCTCATCTATATAAGATCACAATCGGTTGCTTATGGTATTGTGCTTTTAAATGAAATAATAATTAGTGTGTCTTGCTATGTTTGCCACACAGGGTGATATAGTGGACTTGGAACGCAATGAGGGTAAAACTGATGTGGTAGTCAATGAAGGCGTCACGACAGTCTCGTACACCTTAGATGAAGGACTTATTGAGTTTGGGACAGCCATTGATGATGGAGATTTTGACAGGTATATAATATAGACATCAAACAATTTGCATCAAACAAAGAGTGAACTTATTATGTAGTTGTACACATAGTTATCTTATTCAGGGTATATTATTTGAAATTTTGTTCGGTTTGCTTGCTCTTTTAGAGCGGTGTCCTTCCTCGAAACCCTTGAAATGGTTCCTGAAACAGAAGCAATGTGGAAAACGTTAAGTAAGCTCGCTTTGGAAGACAGACAGTTGATGATAGCTGAGAGATGTTTTGCTGCACTCGGGGATATCAGCAAAGCGAAGTATTTGAAGAAAGTGAACGAGTTAGCTGAACAAGCCGCAGTTGATATGGTAAGTTTCAAAGATGATTTACTAAGACGATTTTACTAAGCAGGGTGAAAAAGGACCATTGGTTCCAGAAAATTTTTAAAGATAATTGTAAGAACCTTTAGCCAATCTGAGACACCGGATTTCCAAAGTTTTCTGGGGGAGTATGCCCCTCCCCAGATCCCCCTAGTAGTGGCAAGTGCCCCCCCTCCCAGTAGGGCCCCCCCCCTCCCAGTAGTGCCCCCCCTCCCAGTAGTACCCCTTTTTTGGCATATGTAAATTTTCCTTAGGATCTGACTCCTGATGCATGTTATATAAATCAGTTTTTTACGTTATATTCCTAAAAGTATTATTGATATTCACAGTGCACTGAAATTATTTTTTCTATTAGAAAATATAGCATAACATTCAGTTTGACAACCTGTTAGTATTATTACACAGTTACAGTGTCCAAGTGTCGATTTACTTGATTATTCACAGAAAATTTTTCAATTTTCTCGTCCATTCCCAGAAAGTAAAGTATTTTCCTCACCCCTGGTACTAGTTAAGGTCATTGTGAATGATGTACCTTGTCTCTGTCATTGGTCACTGTGCGAGTAAACGCCATGGCCTCTTAGACGGTCTAAGAAGACCATATCAAATACTATATTTTCCCATTTAGGGCGGAGACGGCAGCCATCATTTTATGGTGCGTGCGAAACTGGCGATACTTGACAAGAATTTCAAAACAGCTGAGAACATTTTGCTTGAACAAGGTCATGTTGACGAGGCAATCGAAATGTACCAAGAACTACACAAGTGGGATGAAGCCATCGCTGTTGCGGAAGCTAAGGTGGGTTATTTATGATCATTCATTTTGCAATTGCTCAGTCGTACAGTAGATGCTTTGCAAGTATGAGGGTTGCGAGTAAATATGCTACAATAATAGGCTGGCGACATTCTGTAATTGAAAAAAAAAATTGTTTCATCTTAATTATTACTATAACGTTATAATTTAATCAGTTGCGAATGGGACTATCTTTACCGGTGCTTCCAATGTTACAAATATCGTTAATGTATTTGGCATCACCATTATTTAATTTGCCATCAGGGGCGTAGCCAGCTCCAAGCGAGTGGGGGTCCAATAGTCGAATACAGAACAACTAGGGTTCGGCCGTGCAATCTTTACGTGACTTTGGTCAAAATAACGAAAATGGAGGGAAATGCAAATGAAAGAATCAACAACTTTGCTGTCGAGTAGTTTCCCAAAATCAGGGCAGGAAAAAGAATTTTCTTCCTGGGAGCACAACCTGGAGACAAAAAGTTCCTGCAGACCAATGGAGTATTTTTGTGCTAAATCTGCATGTGCATAAACATACAGTGTCTAGCTGACCATGGTTTTCAATTAAAGGAATAATGTGTTCATATGTTGTTGTGCCCATATTGGGACATGGGTGTTAAGGTTTTCTTCAAATTTTCAATAGCAAATCTTCATTGAAACGAATTACCTGCAGCTGTTTTACATTTCCTGCTAGCAGTGCTCGCGTACTCGCCTATTTTTTCCACCCCTGCGCACAATGTGCACAAAAATGCGTATCTGAGCTAGCCACCACACGAGGCAGTTTCTGGTTTGTCCATTCACTTGTAACTTCCGCCAACTTTTCGTTGTCAATTCTCAAAACACGTCCGTACCATGAGTTCAATAGCACAATACATTGCCTACTATCAGTATCACTACACATTTCAATTTTAAATTTATCAAGCAAAAGTAAGATTTAAATAATTCAAGCAAAAGTAAGAAATGTTATAAGATATCAAAAAGTGAAGTAATGACTATATAATGTGTGGCTAAGCTGAAGTGTTGTGTAGTAAACATCTCGAGAAAAAAGCCAAACTTTAAAAATATAGAAAAATATTCTCGTAAAAAGCTTTAAATTTCTATTATGTGTTCTATCCAACTTCTTCAAAAGCTTCAAGTACATGTGGGATAACAAGTAACCAATCAGGACGCGTTGAAAAATTGTCCAATCATAACCTTGGAAAGTGAACCAATAGTAAGCCCGATCGGGTATGAATTCAACCAATCAGAGATGAGATGACGATTGGCTATAAAAACGCGTGGCAATTTTCTGATTACAGAATTCTTTGTATTATTTCTTGGAATTCATAGCAAAGACCACGAATGCTTAAAAACAAAAATAAAACAATTTTATTGTTTACAACGTTTCGGAGTGTTAAGTGTTACTCCATCTTTAAGTAATAAAGAAATTAAAGATTGAATTCTTTGTGAGAAGCTGATAGAAGAAAGAAGGGAAGTTTACTACTTGGTGAACGTTTATAACGGCGAAATATTACAAGAAATGGCTCGTACGAAACAGACAGCTCGTAAGTCAACTGGTGGAAAGGCTCCTAGGAAGCAATTGGCAACGAAAGCCTCTCGTAAAAGCGCCCCATCAACCGGCGGTGTGAAGAAACCTCGTCGATACAGGCCCGGTACTGTTGTGGCCGTTCGAGAAATTCATCGTTATCAAAAGTCTACTGAGTTTCGTTATGTCCATTAATATTTTATTGGCTGCTCAACATCATGGATTTATTGTTACGTTTCCAAGCAACTTTTATTAAGTCTTTACTTGCATGCTACTATATATAATTATATATAACGATAATAATACTAGGTGTCCAACCAAATACCAAATGCGTCAAGTTTAGGGATAAAGACATTTGGCGTCGAGTTGGGTGAAGAGCGCTATACTGGAAAGGGTGTTGAGCACTCGAAGCATTTCGTGTTATTGGACTTGGTACATTAATTTAATACTTCATCGAACTTGGTATAAAGTTTAGTTTTGAGTAAGAACAATTTAAAATATAAAGTATAAAAAGTTGTAAAAGCGTATACTAATTAAAATAGCAAAAAGTGCGTGATAGTTGTATGTGTTGTGCTTTGTGTTTTATACGGTTTATTCGTTCACGTTCATAGTCACCAGTTAGCAGCCCCTCTTTCACCAACTCACGAGCGTGTTCGTTTTCATAAATTCATGGACGACAAATAGATTTTTTCTTCATGATTTTGTAGCTAATAATTTTGTGCCAGGAGAGAATTGCTATAAATGCTTATGTCTTATGAACAGGACTTGCTTTCTTTAGCCGTCATCCGTATATTACAGTATTTCGTTTTAGGCCGTATTCTGTGGCCGCTTATCGTTCAGTTCCGCTCCTCTGTGAAGTGATGGCTTTAAACACCTT